CATCATCATCATCATCATCATCATCATCATCATCATCATCTCATAGATAATACCCTCTCCTTTAGTTGTCCTACAAAAATATGTACTCCGTCATAGCAAATCTGTAGTCTCTAAGCATAAATATGAAATGACATTAAACTTTAATTTTTATTAAAATTAAATTTAATTAAAACTTAGATTCTTTTTTCAGGAGTCGAAGCAACAATACTTGAAATATTTAGAGATATAAAATTCACAAAGCATAGTGAATGTGGCTTATGTCTCACTGTTTTAATCAATATAGATATTGCAGTAACCATACTATTTTAAAACGTTTAATACAGTTCTCCTTTTTCAATATTCACCGGAGGGTTAAATACTTGACCCCTGTTAATATGGCCCAGTTGAGGCACACCTAAGATCTATTCAGCCTTATAAGTACATATATCCCACAGCACACATTCTGGGAAGACTATCATAACAAATAGCCCCTGGCAGCCTCTATTAATTTCACACTTCCCCTTTTATTCATGGGTTGCTCCATCATGATTTTGGGCAGTACACAATGCAAAGCAATGTAAATCGGTGACACAGAGAACTCAGAAAGGAAAGAACACCCCCGCCCCCACCAAAAACCCTCTGTCACCAGTAGAATCCAAGAGACCAATGATCCCATAGCAAGTCTGCTATCTACTCTAATCCAAGGCCTGGAGAAAAACCAAGTTTAAGAGCTCATTTAAATAAGATCAGGGTGGAAAGCTGTCAGAGAATGTCATTCCAGAGTGGCAGGTGCCATTACAGAGAAGGCCTGCTTCCTGAGTCCTATTATGTATCACCATTTCATTAAGAGAACCCAAAGTATATAGAAATTATGGAAGATCAATAGTCTCTCTCACAAAATCTCATGATATGCCATGTTATAGGTGACAACCAGCACTGTGGCTTGCATGTACTAGTAACCACTGCAGCTAACAAAACAGAGCTATTACAATAGGGATATTGTGGCATGAACATATTTGCCACATGCTGCTGCTTTCTGTTTTTCTAAACGGTCTTCAAGGCAGCTCCCATACAGAGCCCACTGCGATAGTCCAAATCCAGCAAAGCATCTATCGTAGGTTAGTGGCCAATATAATTTACTACAGCGATATTTCTCTTCATGAATTATGCTGAATAAATTCCTCACGTAGAACCAAGTAAAGGAAGGAATCTCTAAAAAGAAGGCCAATGTGAAATGTCGGCCATTATCACGAACACAGTGGAAATGAGATATAAAGGCCATAGGCTGGCATATGACAGCTCAGTCCCAGGAAAGAATTCATCTGATTAGATCTGATCTATCAAGAGCTGCCATCTCAGTAAAATTACTCATTCAAGTTCACTTTTTAGTCAATAATGAAGTTGCTTCACTTACCGTGACCTTATTTCTTTTGGAAAAGCCTTTTACACTGAGCTTTGAAACTGGTGTCTTATAGTAGCTTTTTTCTGAAAGTAAAAAAGGCAATGAAAGACAGTTGGATAAAGGAATGAGGTCAATTAACTGTGTCCTAATATTTGTCAGCTACTTACTGAGAGACTATGGGTACAAAACTTTGCTTTGAAAAAGTTGAAAGCAAGAATGACCTATACTAAACTGCTTCTTTGACATTTTAACAACATAGAGGGAATTCTAACCAGCACTCATATTCCATTCTTTATTTTGATTTTAAAAAATAGGAGCCATCAAGTCATTTTTCAGAAAGCAAGAAGATGGAGATACAAATAAAGAATATGAACTGGATTCCATATTGCCAAAAGGCAAAACTCAGGGATGCAAAGTCATGTTAGATATTATACCAGCAGTGCCTTGGAATGACTAAATAAGAAAAGCAAATATTAATTTATCTAAACAGCTAATTTAGATTTGATCTATGTATTCTGTTTAAAGAATCTTGGTGTTACATTAATATGTAATCTTGAGTGTCTACAATTTAATTTAAAAATAGCCTTTGTATAATTTTTGGAATAAAAGCATAAGTCTATTTTACTGCAACTAAACTTACATTCAAGTATACAACTCAAGAGCACACATACCATTAATAGATGAAACCTCCAGTTCAGGTCGAATACTCCTATGGCTATCCAGAAAGGTTGATTGTAATATACTAGGTGTAGTTTCTGCAGAAAAAAGGGGCAAAGAAGAGGTTTTTCCTTTGGAATACTGATTACTGTAATTAGGCCAGAGTAACAAACTTAGGTTTGACTAAATAATTGAACTGACTCCAAGAAAGTTAGGGGTCGTATCCCAGCAGTAGAATGACTACTGATTCAAGCCACCAAGTCCTGGCTGTTCCAGCAGGCTGGGGGGAGCTGAGAAGCATCTACCTCCACAGAAATTGTGAATGTTGGT